AAGCCGAAATGGCGCGTAAACGAACGGGCGGGTCTACTACTACTACTACTACTACTACTACTACCACTACTACTACTACTACTACTACGACGACGACGACGACGACGACGACTGCTACTCCTACTACTACTACTACTGCTGCTGCTGCTGCTGCTACTACTACTGCTACTACTGCTACTACTGCTACTACTGCTACTACTGCTACTGCTACTGATCCTCTTCATCTTAATGCTATTGATACGGTCACTGCTATGATGACATTCATTGACTACAGTTACATACAGTTACTATTGACGTTACAAACTCTATCGGTAAGATATGAGGATTGTAAACATGCATTGTTGACACTGGACGGTTGCTGTTATCATTCCTCATGCTCTTTCTCACAACTAGTATTTGACACGTTTACTAGATTATATATCAGTATCACCGGTAGACCGCGCGTGTGTTTTCACTAGCACTACCTTTACTGCAATCATGTTCATTATCATCTGCTACTACTCTTAAGTTGGTAATAATGCTGTTGCAGTTGCGCTCTTGTTACTATCATTGCTCTACCGTCGCGAACGCTGTGACGAACTTCGTTGCCAGCATTATCAAGATGACTCCTCCTCCTCTCCTACTACGTCTCCTCCTGCGACGACTACGACTACGACGAGAAGTGCCACAATTCTAGTTCTTGCCATTATGGAAACTCGTATCCGGCGAGGCCGAAGGCTTGGGGCGTTTGAATGCAAGGACCGCTGATCAGGCCCCCGCCACTGCGACCCCCCTCAAGTTTGAGGGTGATTCACTTTTTCTGCAAAATTTCTGCTCACTTTGGAGGTTTTGCCTTGGGCTGTCGCCATTCTCGGGATTGTCGTCGCTTTTGGACCTTCGTGTCCCCGCAGTGGAAAGTGGAAAAGAAAGTGGCGTGGAGAGTGGAGGGAGGATGGAGAGTGGAGTGCCTCGAGCGTGAAGAGTGGAGTGGAATGGAGCGGAAAAATAGTGCAATGAAGTGTGGAGTATGAAGACTGCAGAGAGTACAGCGTGGAGAGTAGAGCGTAAAAAGTGGAGAGGAAAGCGGAGTGGAAAGTGGAACATAGAGTGCAGAGGAGAGTGGAGAGTGCAGAGTCTTCGTCATGTGTTCTGTGTCTCGTGTCGTGTGTGTCGCTTTAAATCTTTGAATCTACGCGAATAATGTAGCGCGTGTCTGCGTTCGGGTTCGTGGACTCCTATCAAGATTTTTCGCCCTCCCACCCGTGCCCAATGCGAACCACCAGCAAACCCAATTCAAGCATGTCAAAGCTGAGCCCTTCAGAGCAACGGCATGTGGTTTCTCCAGCAATTCAACATCGGCCACGCAAGCATGTGCCCCTGATCCTGCGCAGCTGTGGGGGCTGTAACTGCCTTCCGCAGCTTCCGCTGCCTCAAAGCCTGCAGCAGCCTCAAAGCCTGCCCTCAGCAGAGCCCACATTCCACCCGTGCCTCGCCGCCGAGGCGGCAATTGCCCCAGCGACGAATTACTGTTCTTGCCAATGTTGTGCCTGTTATCATCGTTGCTGCCAATGTTGCCATGATACTGATGATTTGGATCATTACTGCCAAATATTATTGTTCTTGCCTTTACAATACAGGCACAGCTATGGTCACAATGATAACACATGACTCATGACCTTTACTTTTCTTGGTATCTATGCGGGTCACGTCTCTTCTTGTGCAGGAAGGGGGGTTAGCCGCCACTTTGCATTTACTGTTTTTGGGGCCTCTGAATAGCTTCAAATGCTGTGAAATATAATATGTGTAGCCTCCAGAATGCTCTGAAGGGAGGATTTGCTGAGGAAACGCATCCAGCTTTTGAAAGCAAGTGGCCTGGCATTGCCTCTGCAGGTGAAACCATGTGTACACAGCAGCAGAACTCCTATCACGGCTTCTGATCAGAGAGCGGTGGCCGCCAGCCGCATAAGCGAGCTGCAAGTTGCTCGTATTCGCGCCTCTCCTGGCCGTCAGGCAAGCTTGGGGTGAGACTTGGCCACTCCAATGCCAATGCCATGTATACAATGTGACCCAGCTGCTTGAAAACAATTTCCTGCATCTGTCCTGCTGGCCGACCGACGGTTGGACGCGGCTCCTGGCCTTCACCAGAAGGTCAGTGGTAACCTGCTCGGTCAGTTCAAGTCCTTCCATTCAAGTTGCACCCAGGGCCAAACCTGCACTCCTGCAGCAGCTGCATGAGACTGCTCCTCAGCTAGGCAATCACCTGCACTGCTTCCAGCTCATGGAGAGTTCGGGCTCCTGGGATTTTCCAGCGGGCGTCTCATTCCCAGCCGCAGTCTTGCAGCTCCTGGTAAATCAGTATGCCAGTCATGGGTCAGCGCTGTATCACCAATTTCCGGCGCCTAGAAGCTGCATCCCTGATCGCAAGCATGGCAGCCTGAAACACACAAATGCAGAGAAACATGAAGATCTGACAGACCCACCTATGACACTTTGAGACTGAACAAGGTCTGCCTCGCGGGCAAGCGATGCCAGGTCTGCACCACTGAAACCGTCCGCATCTGTTGCCAGCCGTTGCAGATCCTACAATGCTGACATTTGGATTGCTTCTGGCTTCTTGAGGGAGCAGACAAAATTTCGAAGCTCGGGGTGTTGCCACATCAGGAGCCAAAGGCAACCTCAAAACCAAGAGGAAGTAGGTCAGCATTCAGCACGAGCATGTTTCAGGTATGCTTTGATGATCTCTCTTGCTCCAATTCAAGGACCCGCGCTTTTTCATGTGCGTCTGGAGAATTTCAAGGCGACCGACCTTTCTGCATGCAAAGGGCTGGCAAAGAATGAGGAAGGCCACTCATAAGGACACTGCTGCCGAAGGGAAAGGGACATACAAAAGTCTATCCAGACGGCCTGGCAACAACATTATTGCAGCTTCTCTGGCTCTCTGAAAAACTGGAACCTGCCTGGCCGTAGCATTGCAGGATCAACAATATCTGGCCGATTCGTTGCAGCAATGACATAGACCTCCACCAACAACAGCAAGCTCCGCAATGAAGGCTGGACAGATCGGACACTGGCGCTTGCGTGAGCCTGCGAGCGCGACTGCACCCCATCCATCTCTGTGAGCATCTGGTTCACTACCTAGAGTTGGACACGAGGCAAGGGGCTTCTGACCGAAAAGCCAATTATGAAAACAGCGAATAAGATGTCGTCAAAGCTGTGCTAGCGTCCGAATCACTCTCCAGGCAAAGGCTCACACATGATTGTGACCATGCCGTTTGCTCAAACGTTATGAGCAGCTCAAATTATGAAGGTCTCTCGCATGGGCTGTCAACTACTTGACTGAGACAAGAAGCCCGCTCCGAAGAGCCGGTCCCTTCAGCAGACCTTGAAGAGCAAAGTTCTTCCCACAAGCATCCCACCCGTTGAGGATCGATGAAGTGCGGGCCTCCTGGGCACCAGCGCATCCAGCTCGTCAAAAAAGATTACGCCTCTGAGTCACACCAAATGACTAGCAGTGCGACACACGTCCACTGCTGAGGATAAGGGGCTGGAGTAATCTATCTGATACGAACCCGCAAGTCATTTTGGTTCTTCTCAGAACTGGGCAGGGCGAGGAGCTCCGCGCCCGCTGGAAAACCAAGCGAACGGCTCGCTCTGATCTGAGCTGGCACAAGACTTCTCCAAAAGGCATATCTTGGAAGGTCCGCCGTGGCCGGAGGCCGGCTCTTAGATCCATGTTCGGAGAATGGGTTTTGGGCGGGGGGAGAAGGGCTGGGGTCTCGGGCGGGCTCTGCTAGGCCGTTCTCCTCTGCCCTTGCCGAGGCGGTCTGGCGTTAGCGATGTAATTATGAAGCATTGTGAAAGTCTGCACAGAATTCCTGAAGGGTCCATGTGCCAGTACTTCCATCAACGACCACATGCTCAGCAATTGAAATTGGCACGCGGAGTCCAAGCAACGGACTCGCCAACATACTTGTTCAACAGCTCCGGACCCTGCACCAAAGCACGGAGCTACCGTCAGTGAGTCTATTTGCCATACCCTGGACATGGAATTCGGGAATGTATGTTAGAGACTCCCCCTATGTCCACCGTTCATGGCAAGCATCATCATATTGATCGTAGCGCATGTACGCAAGCACCAGCCAGATCCACCATGTCTGAAAGATTGTTTTTGTGTTAGAACGAAGGGGCACTTCAAACCCAGGCTTAGCCTAGGGGATACGTTCACTTGTCACATTGCCAAGCACTATTGAACACAACCTGCTGACCTCTAAGGCAGGCAGTGAAGGTCCTTGACAGCGATGAAGTTGGCGCCACTCTGGTTCGCAGTTGCCTGAAACATTTTCATCAACACAGCAAACCCTGCTGCCCACCCGGAAGGCATCACTCAGGGCCTTGGCAAGCAAAGTTTTGCCGCAACCAGGTGGCCCGAACAGAAGCACCCCCACAGGCACAGTAAGACCTTAGGATTCGACATGATCTCTAGAAGCGCCGCTGCTGTGCCAAGCACGGTACATTTTTCCATGTCTCAGGCTCTCATGACAGTGTCTTTTTGACATCTGCTTGGCCGGGACAGCTTTAACCCCGCAAGAGAGAGGGAGACAACAAAGCAAAAGAGGCTTCCGCTAGGCTGGTCTTCCTGTCACCCAAGCTGGCGCAGGATGCGTGGCAACTGTGTAAGCGGCCTGAGGAAAATGGTGCTTTGTTGCGCTCGGAGCGAGAGACGGAGCTGCTACTTGGCACTGCGCCACGGCAGGCACGGCAGGAGCTTCGATCCTGTAGGCACCGGTATAACCCGGCGGAGCTGCGTATGTAACATAGCCCGGAGACACAGCAGGCGCCGTCATGCCGGCCGGCATATGCAGCCCGTTCTGCGGCGTGATCTCTCTTCTCAGCACAGCAGGGAATTGAGCCTGCACCTGTACCTGAGGCATCTGTTTGGGGACATCTGGCTGGCACGGTGTGGCACAGGGTGGGTTGGCGGCAGGTTGGCTCGTAGCCTCAGCCTGCTTTATTAGGCTGTTGGCATTTTGTTCTCCTGGGCTCACCATCGGCGGCATGGGCGTGCTCTGCGCAGATGTCTGCTTCTCGCGGAAATAGGTGTGAAGCTCCTTGCAGCACTGCGTTACAGCGTCAACTGTGACAACTACTTCTGCAACTCTCTAAGGTTGAAACCATGGGCCCCAAAGTATGGGCCCTTAACCCGGGGATCCTTATATACCTACTATATACCCTAGATGTACCCTCAAGGGTCCCTAGAATGCCCCGTAAACGCGCTGCAATAGCAGCAGCAGCAGCAGCAGCAGCAGCAGCAGCAGGTGGTGTTGAAGTCGGTTCAGGTTTGAGAAGCCGCCGAGTTGCTGGCGACGTCAGCTTGACCTCAGAGCAACCCAACAGCTCGCTTCCTTCACAACAGGCTTCGCAGATGCTTCTCATGACGCCATCTCACTTCTCCAGGTACAATGACAGGCTGTTCTGCGGAAGAGGCACAGTCTTCACCCTTCCATCATACTCCACAGACACCTCCTGCCGCTGTGGATCCAGGCGGGCGATCTCCCCCGCGCTCCAGCGACCAGCCTATCACAACAAAGCCCACACTGGAACTTAAACCTGCCCTGTCTGTAACACATTGTGTGAGATGAGAGATGTGCCACTGAGCTGCACTTTGTGAGTAAACCTCCACTGCTGACCCCAGTCTGAAGCCGGAGAGTGTTGGACTATCTACGGCTCCCCACTGCCGGAAGAAGTCCTCAGATGTCAAGCGCTGATTTGGTGTTGCAACGCTATGATGGACTCTTTGCTCTCGTAAGATTTCGTAAGATATGGCAGCTTGACCCAAAATATAACGTGCGCCAGGGCTGCGGTCAAGTGGGGAGACTTGAGGTTTATGACCTTGCGGTGCTCGCCTCAGATGTCAAGAGCCTTCATACTTGCAACCTGCATTCGCACGCATCTACCATGGCTTCCACAGAGTCCTGCTAGAAACGTACATGCAACCAATCATGAAAGCATGGGCCTGTGGCAGATGCGACCTGTCAGATCAGGAGACCTGTGAGCATGTGTCAAGTTGCCATGTTGCACGATGACTTCAGAGCCAGCAAGGTCCACACGCACGATGGAAGCAACCACCCAAGCACCAGACCTTGCGGGGTCATACCGCAAGACTTTGCAGAACACGGCATAACCGTGTGATGTTGCGCTTTCTTTTTAGTCATCTCTATGCAGGTAAGCGTCGACTTGGAGTAGACCTGACCAAGACCCCAAATGCAAGCTCGAAGTCTTGCAAGGGTTCAGGGTTCTGAGAGCTCAGGTGCTGAGGAGTTCAAGCAGTTTGGATTTGGCAGTTCTGACATTCAGGGTTCAGTTCGTGTCACATGAAAACCACAGCTGGCCCAACCCCATTCACAGGAGAAACTCTGCAATTCCCGCGAAAAAAAATGTCCCCCTGCCTGGGCGCGATCACCCTCGTGAAAGTCAAAGAAGATTGACTCCTCAATCCCCTTTTCCACAGGCCTCAGTAGCTCAATGACTGAGCTACAGGTTTCAGGGCTCACGCCGTGATTTTCAAACAGACCCCCAGTCATGCGGGAAGGGCACGTGTCTGACATGTGGCTTGTAGGCTCAGGAACCATGGACTCGGCAGAGTCTTGCTTCGACTGCAGCTCCACCACAGATTCAACTACAGACTTTGAAGCCACCGAAGCGTACTTTGCTTCCAAGTCCTTGGGGCAATGCATTAGCAAGTGATCAAAGCACAACTGGAAGCAGGGATGCTAGGAAAGAGGCTGGAAGCAAGGAGCCTCAACTCAAATCACCCAGCCGCAAGTTATTAGGTCCGGAAGCCAACCTCATAGAAACACCAATGATCACGCTTCAAAGGGTGCTTCTTCACAATTGGAGAATCCTATATTATACTGTCAAAACTATTCCCGTATAAACCCCACTCCAACCCCGGGAAAACCTGAGATACTGCCACTTGGCGTTCTTTTTTTCTGGTGCGCTGTGTATCCAGTTGCTGGCTCTGGAACCGCCTGCATCAGGGCATGTTGCCGTTTTTTTCAAGATGGGGTTATACTGGGTGCAGGGTTAGGGCTTAGGGTTCAGGGTTTCCCAAAACTACGGGAGATCTTTTTAGGACACCTCATATTAAGGCTCATAGTATTTTGGTGTTTTTTGGGATCCACTGATTTCGGGACTCTTGATTTAGGAGTAGGCCCTAAACCCTAATAGAACCATGAACCATAAACCCTTACCAGGGAGTGGCTGCACGCTTTCAAAATTGAACGTTGGGAACAAAAAGTCTCTGACTGGGCTTAGGGTTTAGGGCTTACATTTTCAAAATACTTTCGTCTTGTAAGAGGGTGATATTCCGAAACCTTGTGGGCGCCCGTGCTGAGAGAAAAGCTACAATCCGTATATACCAACCGTAGTTCTCTCCTAAATCCTACACCCAACCCTAAACCCTAAACCCTAAACCCTTAGGCCGTGAAGGCCCTGGGCCCGCCAAAATCTTACACATCAATGTGTTGGGGGGTATAAGGGTGAAAGAAAATGGAAACTACTATATTAATAGGGTATATATTGGGGTTAAATAGGGATAATGGAAAACAAAATGGAAACTACTAATAGGACTCAGGAATCGAGGTTGGATCAAGGTATCAGGGTTAAGGCTTGCAAGTGCGAGGTTTTTCGATTTGACTTACAGCCTATACCCTCCCAGGCCATAGCTAGCCCTAAGCCCCGAAGGTGTCTTAACTACCGGGGCTTTTAAAATTGTGGGTCCCGACCCTAAACCCTAAACCCTAAACCCCTAAACCCTTAACCCCATCTTGAGGAGCCTCAGGATACAAACAGAAAACCCTTTGGGTTCAGGGTCCCTCTCAAAGCATAACATCTTGGCAATATTGGGTACTGCCCACACCCTTTCACAATTAATAATGAAGTTTAGGGTTTAGATGGACGATGACCATGTTGAAGATGGGTACATGCAAATAAGAGGTTTGGGGGGTAGAGTGTCATGGGGCTAGGATGGGTGATGTGTTTTAGTAGTAGTAGTAGTAGTAGTAGTAGTAGTAACAGCAATAGTAATAGTACTAGTACTAGTAATAATAGTAGTAATAGTAATAGTATTAATAGTAATAATATTACTATAGTAGTAGTTTTGGTAGTGGTAGTAGTAGTAGTAGTAGTAACAGTAGTAACAGTAGAAGCAGTAGTGGTGGTGATGGTAGTAGTAGTAGTAGTAGTACTAGTAGTAGTGGCGGTGGTGGTGGTGGTAGTAGCAAAAAAGAAAGAGTAGTAATAATAGAGTACCAAGAGTAACAATAGGCAGAGTAGTAATAATACTACATGTCATAGTATTAACAATAATAGGAAAAAAGGAATCCTGAGGAAAAAAGAGGAGGTTTGCAAACTTACCGCAAAGCCGAAATGCCTTAGGCGAACACCTTGTGCCCTGAATAAAGCAAAAAAAAGGTAAACACACACAACACAATTTCTATGTGAATCCTTGAAGAATCCTGCCCTAAACCCGGATAAAACTACCATTTTCCTTCGGGAAATCTTCCAGGAAATCTCTGGAAAAGAACAATGCGTTTTTCCAAGTGAAGAAGCATCATTTGAAGCAGCATGCAATTAACTTGCAAGACTACCGCATTTATGCATTCCAGGATCGTAGCTTTCGGTGGACTTCTCCGCAGTCTCCGCGACTGATGCAGGATCATCCCCCGGAAGGACTATCCGAAGTTCTACCTGACAAGTCTTAAAAAAGATAGATCCCCGTACAAAATGCCTGGGAAAAGGAACAATACCGACGGCGCACAGTTCGGTCAGTCCAGCCTCCCCAGTTTCTTCAAAGTCTTGCATGAGGCGCCTGCAGATGCCGATGAAAACCAAGACTGTGGAAGAATTCAGCGAGCAAAACTTGATGTAGTAAAGTGCTTTCAGCATGAAATCTGGAGGACAAGAACTAGAAGGCAACTTTGTGAAATGTACAAACAATCAGAGCAGCCGCGTGACCACCCGGTCATAGTTTCAGCTTTCGGGTCCGCTATGGGCACTGTGGCTTCTCCGACAGGTACATCCGCACCATCGGCCACGGCGAAAACGGCCACCTTGACGAATTGCTCCTAAGCGTTCAAGGCTGTCAGCTCGCATGCGGCTTGTGGATGCTTGTAGGTGTGGTGAGCCAAGAAAGGGATTGAAACTTGAAACACCCCACCACGTGCTGCAACCTCTCACTTGCCTGCCTATAAGCAAAATTGAAGGTCTCAACCCTGATTGAAGCGCATCATTGGGTTATGAATGCAGCAACTTCTGAAGCTGAGTAGAAATGGCGTAGGATGTTGAAAAACTGGGTGATAGTAGGTCCAGGTTGGAGCAAGTTCAAGCCAGGTCCAGATAAGCACTGCAAGCTTTTGAGGAAGCGGATTACGTCACGTTTGCATCCCGAACATTTTGCAA